CCGAGGGGAGAAAACACCTCATCAAGAAAAGGTCAAATTAAACCAGGAGAATAGGATGTGGCATCTAATTACCATCTCTCAACTCAACACTTAGTTGTTAGGTAAGTACCATCCGACAAGATGATGGATGGAAAAAACATCTTAAAGGGAAGAATCCAAATGACCAAAATTGTTCAAAAACGAGAATGTCTAGGATATTGCTTTCGGGATCCATACCATGAATCCAGTGTCATTACAACGCTGCATTCAATGAAATCCAGTTATATCTCATGATTAAATGATGTGGGATGGGCGCTAAGACACACCATTTCCTCCTACTTCACTTCATTTTATTTTTAAGACATTTTCCCATCATCATCATCATTATCATCATCAAATATTTAACAAATTATTGTGTGCCTCATAAGAAGAGGGGCTAGAATGCCTACCAGCTAGCATAGTAAGACTCTTCCTGCTACTTCAGCGCCTGTTGTTCTTTCTTTTCTCGCCCAAAAGACCCTTTCTGGGATTCCCTCTGACAATCCATCCTGTACTGTCTTGGGTGTGTGGCATGCTTAGTGTGACTTTTTCCTGCCTAAGGCAATTCTGGGTCTTACACTTGCCACCTGCTCAACTCTTCCTGGTCAGTGTTGAACATTGGCTTTCAAAAGATACTGACAGAAGTGAAATCAATCAAACCCCTCAGATACACAGGTCTTCTGCCATTTTCTCTGTCTCAGGAATGAGAAAGCCATCTTACCCATCAAGAATTCATATAATGACCTTTACAGATTTTTCATGCCAGTCATCCTGGGTTTTTCCCTGAAGTGCCTTTTTTTTCTTAGAATTTTTCTGTTTTATGTTCCTTGAAGTAACCTTAAATAGCTTAGCTGTGTGTGTGTGTGTGTGTGTGTGTGTGTGTGTGTGTGCGCGCGCGTGCGCACGTGCACGCGCGCGCGCCTGTTTACTCTGCTCTCTCTATGGCTCCCACCTCCCTTCTCCTTTAAGTCCAACAGAGTCTCTATACAGAAAGAATCACTGTGTGTGGACGGATACACTGCCTGGCACAACGAAGAGCTCTGTGAAAAGGCAACTTTTATTCTTTTTCAGTGAGATTAATCTGATTAATTATAATGCTATCATTTGTAAGAACAGCATGTCAAGGATACAGGTACAATGAGGTAAGTAAAACTTATGCGGCTTTAGAGTGGCAAAGCATATTCACAATACTCCTGATTATCATCTCCAGAAAACGGAAGTTCAGAAAGCAGTTCTTTGCCTCCAGATTGCTGTGTTTCACCTCACATTGCACCATAGAGAACATGTCCTTTCCTCCTTAGAGAGTTCTCAGCAAGCCAGCCCTCTTGTTCATTTCTCTCTGTTTAGATGTGTTTTATTCACAACTAATTGGTTCAATGACTTGTAAATTTATTCCGTCAATACCTGCTCCCAAACCCTGCTACCCATTCCAGAAAGGATTTAAGTTAGATTGTCCTCATTCGTGGGGAAAAACAAAGGGGCAGTCTTGTTCCTCAGCATTTCTTCACAGAGCCCTTTGTCCCCTAGCAGGGCTTCTGCTCCTTGTCTCTCAGCCAAGAAGCAAGCCCTGCTCTTTGGAAACCTGCGCCATCTTTCTCTTCTAGAGCAGCTGTGAAGTACCTGCCCACCCCCCACCCCCCACGCCCCACGCCTCTAGTGCTTCCCTCTGAAGATACATAGTTTCTAAATGTCTCCCTTGAGCTCAAAATCCACATACACAAAACAGCTGATAAAGAAAAAGATACTTTAGGCAACTTCTCAGGAAATTCAGTCCTCCAGGTTAAAATGAATCCAAATCTTGCCAAGATGTATCATGGGCTCCACCCATCCGAGTGTGTTCACAGAAACTGAAACTGATAAATAGAAATTTACCCAGACATTTTCCACATATGCTTGTTCATTTCATGCCTGGTAACTCTAGAATGACTGCTCTTACAGAAACATGAGGTGTTTTTCGCTTTGCCCCCTCCTATCCCTGCAGTGAGTCTAAATTCCTCCTGCCCAAAATCAAACATGTTTTTATGTCTTCCTGTCCACTTAGGAAAATGCCTCTAGTTTTCCTGGGGATGTTTTTTCCAATTGGAAGAATTTATAGACAGAAAATAGCTCAGCTGATAAACGTGATCATCTTTCACTTCAAAATGGACATACTCTTTCCCATATGTTGGGAATTATGGAGAGATTCTTTATCATCCCATTATACTCAGCTGTTGTTTACTTTTTGTGAATCGAATGTTGACAATTATAGTTCGAGCAGTTTTTTTTAGCAGCATATGCTGAACAAGATAAAATATTTAGAACAACTTACTTTGGACTTAGTAATTATGCTACATTCTTTCAGCCCATTTATGACTAAATTAGAACATTTAGTAATGTTTGGTGACAACTCCCACACTTTGTAAGCACCAAGGGGAAAAAATATAATTTATTTAATTGGTTTTCATTTGGAAGGGAAATAATCCCATTTCAAGCATCTCAGTGTTAGAAAAGACGCTATATTCTCCATGAAAATACACAGATGCTCATACATTTGGGAAATTAACATATATCTTCCTCGAGGAAACTTCTGAAGTCTATTTCATTACAATTACAACTGTTCCTTCCCCCATATATTTTTGTAGGATCACTACCTGCCCCCTTCTATTCACCTCATATATTCTTTACAGAAGCTGTGAACTTTAGACAAGAGGAAGCTATTAAATTATTGTTGGTTTCTGTGCCACAGACTAAGTGGCATCCTACATTCAATAAACACATAAGGAATGCCCACTCTATTACGCCAGGCCTGTGCTGGGCACTGGGATTCTGAGATGAGTGAAATGTGGTCCCTTCTTCAAATACCTTATGAATTAAAGTTAGAGACAAAGAGGAAATAGCACAATTACAGCTCTGTAGAGCAGAGGAGACACAGAGGGACACCTTAATCAGACAAAACAGGAAGGGGGTTGGCAGCAGGGCAGCGGAGAAATATTACAGAGAGTGGGCAACATTTGCGTAAGGGAGAGAGCACTACATGAAGCCCCCACTCAAAAGCCCCGAGGCAGGAGAATGCACCCCTGAGTGGGTGATAGCTATTGGGTGGGTGCTGAGCTGGCGGGAAAGGGGATTCAGACTGAAAAGTTACGTGCAGAACAGGTGGGGCTGGGCTGTGCACTTGAACTTTACTCTGAAGGTGTAAGGGCGTGGGGAGCCCATGAAGGATTCTGCATTTTTTTTCCTGGTGTCTGAGGTGGAAGGAAGCTAGATAGAGGGCAGTCTATGCTCTAGGAACCTGAACCAGGACTGTGGCAAAGGGGTGCAGAGGTGAGGACAGACCTGAGTGAGTTTTCAGGGTGGATCAGATAGTTTTAAATGTGGAAAATCTTGTTTGTAGGAAAGCCTAGGCAGAAAAACTGGAGAAGAGACAAAACTGCTTCATCCCTTTCCCATGCCACCCTGCTGTGCTGCAAGGGAGGGTCATCTTTGACTGTAATGATGGGTGATTATCCAGGACTGCCCACACCAGGTGCTAAGCAGGGATCAGAATATGCCACCCCAAAATGGGCTACTTTGGCATTAGGTTACTTTGAATTGAAGGCAACTGAAAATCGACAGGAAGAGTTCTCTGCCCTCCACTTGTCTGTCTAAAAGTGGAGTATACGTTTTCCTTTATGAAACTTCCCTCCGTCTCTGCCCCTAGACCAGGGAGGCAGGAATGACTCTAATCTCTGGAAATGGAGAGTCAGCACTGAGATGAGTCTGCATAAACAGACCTTGCCAAAATAACCTTCATCTTCCATTAGTTCTCCCATATATTTCCTAGCTACTTTCCCATGGTTTATCATTGCCTGAAACCCAAACCTCCTTTCCTTAGTTAAAATGGTATGTCAGCCCCTGAGACTAACTGCTTCTTGGAGCTTCACTCCTTTCTGTGGCCTCCCATGCATGTATATAGTAATAAAAGTGGTGTGCCTTTTCTCTTGTTAATCTATCTTTTGTTAGTTTAATTTGCAGGTCCCCAAAGACAAAACAGAAGAGCGTAGAGGGGAAGTTTTTCCTCCCTAATAACATATATCATCTCATTGAATCCTCATCCCTCTTAGTGGGGAAGGGACTGCTATTATCCCATTACACTGACTCAGCCAAGAGATGTTAAGGAGTTGGTGCAAGGTCAAGTAGCTAATAGGTAGCAGATCTGGTTTTTGGACCCCTGGGTATACCTACACAGCTTGATCATCTAACAACTATGCTGTTATCCCAGCATGATGCAAAGACAGTCTAACAGAGCCAGCAGGGATGGATTAGGGTGCCAGGAAATCCATAGTCTAATCCTGGTCCTGCCACTACCAACAATAAAGTTAACCATGGAAATATCTGTGTTGTCCTCTGTCGTTCAGATAATAAAATAATAACAATAATAATCTATTGCATGAGATGCAATATGACTTCGAGTAAATAATTGTAATGGGCTGAATTATGTCCCTCCCCCAAACTTCATATGTTGAAGTCTTAACCCCTACACCTCAGAATGTGACCTTATTTGGACATAGGAGATATTAGGGTGAGCCTTAATCCAATCTGAGTCATGTCCCTATAGGAAGAGGACATCAGGACATAGATTTACAGAGGGAAGAACCCGTGAAGACAGAGGGAATAGACCGCCATCCACACAAGAAGGCCTCAGAAGAACAAAGACCCCAGAAGAAACTAACGCTGGCCAGAAAAAAAAAAAAAAAAAAAGTCTTGATCTCAGACTTCTAGCCTCCAGAATTGTGAGAAAGTAAATTTCTGTTGTTTAAGCCACCCAGGATGTGGTACTTGGTTATGGCAGCACTAGCAAGAGAATGCAATCAGAGAATCTAGCTGTGTGTTATCAACACACAGTTTTCAAATTCCTATTATGTCCCAGGCACTATTCTAATCTTTTTCATCCACCTTGAAATAGCAGTGATTACCACCCTCCAAAGGTGAGCCCGTGAGCTAAACCACAGATATCTAAATTCTATGGTTCCAAGAAAATGAAACAGAAAGAGGTCCTTTCAGTTCTGTTAGATCCAAAGCAAACACCCCTGTAGGCCAGGTGGGGGCTGCAGGGGCTGTATTTTGACTTAGGCATTAACCAGGGTAACCAAGTGATCAAGTGCTCTAAACTGAAGGAGGAAAGGAAAGCAGCAGGGCTCCTGCTGACGACCTTTTTTTGAGCAGGTGACTCCTCCCTCCTCAGCTGGGTGATTGGATTGCCTCGACTACACTCTGATGCCCAGGTTGGTCACATGAATACCCTTTACCCAATCTCAAAGGCCTGAGCGGCCACCGAGAGGGCCCCAAGGAGCACCATCTTTGATAGAGAAGGTGGGGGGGGGGGGGGTCAACTGAAGTCCCTGTGACTTTTAAACAAGGCTCTTGTGGAAGGGATTCAGAGAGAGGGGTGGGGAGCAGAGGACAGCCACGGGGGTAGAGAGAGAGCTCAGCAGGGAGGAGAGATGGGGAGAGACATGGCACTGCTGCAGGAGAGAAATTTGAAGAAATAAAGAGAATTTGGAAAGGCTCTGTTGCGTGATAGGTATATGAATTCCTCTTTTTTTATGAAATTTTTTAAAGATTTTATTTATTCATTTGAGACACAGAGATACAGAGATACAGAGAGAGAGAGAGAGAGAGAGAGAGAGAGAATGAGCAGGGGGAGAGGCCAAGGGAGAGGGAGAAGCAGGCTCCCCGCTGAGCCAGGAGCCCGATGTGGGGCTCCATCCCAGGACCTGGGATCATGACCTGAGCTGAAGGCAGACTTTTAACCATCTGAGCCACCCAGGAGTCCCTAGATGAATTCCTCTCTAATCTACTGACAAAAAATGTTCTTAAAACTCTTCCTTGTTAAAGGTTGTGCTGGCTCGTTGCCTGTTTGCTCTCAGATCCGTCCCCTGCCTGTGCTCTGTCTGTCTGACAGTCACAAGCTCTGCTCCTCGGGCTCTCTTGACCACCGGCTCTAGACGAGGTTTGCCCATCAGAGGCAAATGCTGGAGGCTGGAGTTTGGGAGGAAAGGAGAAGCCAGGGTATTTCTTGCCCTTCTCCTCTGCTTCAGGAGGCCTATCCAGCAGCCACCATGACTCCTGTGTGGCTCCAGCTCGTGCCCAAATAGGCTCCTTATGATGCACAGGGTCTCCCAAGTGGCCCCAGCTCCTGGGCTCAGGTAATACCAGCTTCTTCATTTGTCCCTCCAGCCCTAAGACGGGTAGTGGCTTCCCAGTTGTTGGTCTTTGGGATGCTTCCTCCAATCCAGAATATTCTTTCAGCCACTCTAACACCTTTGTAACCAGTTCCCTGTGTTTCGTAACTCTAGTTAACAACGTCCTCGCATGGATTTGCTTTCCTGGAAGACCCCCGGTGGATACAGGAGAGAGAGGAACTTTCTCCTCTCCCAGTTTCTATAATGAGGATCTCCCTAGACACAGGCCTTGTCTCTCTTTACCCATTTACTCCTTCCACCCCTGGGGCACTGGAGTGAGTAATCTGATCATAATTTTGGAAGAATTGCTAGGCCTCTTGTTTCAGCTCTGCTTCTTCCTTTTTGGAGTGAACCTTCCAAGAGAGTACAACACCTCTCTGTACTGTCTGTCCCGCCTGAGCCCGCCCTGGTCCAGCAAATGCCTACCTGTGGGTAAGTCTGTCTAATTTCAGCCCACTTGACCATCAGACCTAAAGCCTACTCTTTCAGCCTGATCTTTAGCAGCAGCCGAGTTGACCCCCATTTGCTCTACCTATGTTTCATCTCCTCAACTTGTCCAGAACCCAGATGGGAAAGAGGAGTGCAATTTACTGAGGCTCTTCCAAAACCTTAATATTATTCACCAACTCTTTTGAGAACTGGATTTATGGGGTTTGGGGTTTGTTTGTTTTGTCTTGTCTTTGGCTGCCAAAATAGCTGAGAAAGGCTAAAGGCGGGGGCATCTGCATTTAGCTGATTAGACAGTATTCCCCTCCTCAGCAATTTCTGGAACTCTCCAGTCAGGCTCACATATGTCCACGGATCAGCCCTGCTTATTGCGGACTTCCTAATTTCTCAGTCTCTCACCTGATAGGTCTGCAGTGATGCCACTGAGCTAGAATATTGTTCCTAATGCCAGTGGGTGTGACCAAAATTAGTGTCTGCCTTTGAGGTTGGAATCCCATCATATGTTTTTGCTGTTAGAAATAGAGTCCTGCTGTACTTGGGTTTCAGTGACACTGACTTCTAAGAAGTATAAGGCTCCTCGTGATTCCTAAATCACCAGTGCCCCGAGCTCCCAAGGCCAGAGACCTTCCTCCCTCCTGGAGTGTTTTCCCTCACTGGTCCCCATCATTCTCCCTGTAATCTGGCTGCTTTGGAACCACCGGCATGCTTTGAACACACACACACACACACGCACGCACGCACATGCGCGTGCGTGTGTGTGTGTGTGTGTGTGTGTGTTGTGTCTAATCTCCCTGGGTATACAGAGTTCAGGTCTTTTTCCTAGGAAGCTCTTCGGCTCCCATGTAAATCAAGGCCTCAAATATACATACTAAACTTTCTCTAGAAATATCTGAGCCTCAGCCAATGACCTTGTGCCAATGTGTATGTTAAAAGTGAGCCCAAGGTGAAAGAGTCCTGCCTTCTAGAGAAGCCCTGGACTGTCTCTCCATCCTCCATTGTCTCTGGTCAATTCACATGAATGTAGTGGAGCACATTTGAGCTTTTGGAATGAAGTTGGATAAGAATATCTTACACGAGAGCACCTTTCTTCACAATTCTATTTGAATCCCACGATGGGGCCAGGATTCCAGGACGAGAGGTAACTTAACTGAGACACAGATGTGAACTCCGCTGTGGAGGATGCCCCTGGGCCCCCAGCCGGATGGGTGAGGTCATCTGTGATTGTTGTACAGAGGAGTCCTGTGGGCTAGTTGAAACTTCTGGCATTTATCACAAAATCCCAGCAATAGAGAATGATTTGGAGTGTGGTCTCTGGCTTCCTTGGGTGCCTACAAGCCCAGCACCGTTGTAGGGGGCTTTCAGTAGCTGAGCAATCCATGATGAATGAGTGAGTGATGTTTTAAAGGATCTGCTGACAAATCAGAACACTCTGGTAGAGAGGACAGCCCAGCATGGTGCAGCAACCCCTAGGGCAGCTGCTAAAAATGCTGATTTAGCCTTTTTCTCTTACTTCTCAAAAGCTGATTTTTCTTCCATCCGCTTTAATCTCTGTCCTCTTATTTTACGTCATTCTCCCTTTAGACTCTTTTCTGTGGGCAGCAAACTCCCTGTTATGGGATATGACTGGAGAAGAGAGAATTGTCTCCTGGTGAACAGACTCCAGAAAGAGTGGCACAACCCTTTCCACCACCACCATCCAGCCTGTTGTTCCGCGACTTGCTTAACCAACCGGGGACTCAGACTTCTCACCCCTAAGTAAGGTTAGTAAGAGCAGTTCTGTGAATTTCCTGGTGGAGTCTGAGTGGAAGATAAAAGGACAATTGAAAATACTTTGTCAAGGGGTGCCTGGGTGACTCTGTCGGTGAAGCGTTGGGCTCTTGATTTCAGCTCAGGTCATGATCTCAGGGTCTTGAGATTGAGCCCCACACTGGGTTCCCTGCTCAGCACGGAGTCTGCTTGAGATTCTCTCTCTTCCTCTCTCCCCACTCTCTCTTTCTCTTTCAAATAGATAAAATCTTAAAAAAAAAAAAAAAAGAAAATACTTTCTGGAAAGTTGAAAGGTAAAGACCCTATACTTTATGTGCTGATCTTTGCTTCCAGTGTAACCAAAAAGGGCCAGGTGTGCACAACTGAGCCCAGTGAGAGCCAGTTAAAGTAAAGCTTCTTTCTCAGAGGTCCCGTGTGTATGCATTTGTCATCAGCATCTCATCCTTTGAATAAGAGGCGAGGAAAAACATACCTGAGAGAGAAACAGAGATGGGAAAAGGCATGGTTCTGATGATGATGGTTCAGGAAGGCAACACCTTTTCTCCAATGGAAGTGGGAGTTCCCTGGGGGCTAGGAAGAAACGTTCTTATATGGCCCCCATGATCTGTGTGGTGTGGCCACATCCTTCTGCAGATAGAGGAGAAAAAGCCACTGAGCAAGGATAATTGAAAGTCTATGTGAGGGTGGGGAAGCTTGATGGTGTGATGATGATGATGGCAATGCTGTCCGCAAGTGTCTGCTACGTGCCACAGGTTTTACTCAGCTTTGGGCCATATTTACCTCATGTTCCCACAGCACTGTGACTTGGGTATTCTTATTCTGCAGATCAGGTCGTAAGCTCAGAGAGGGTCTTTGCTCAAAGTTGTATCTCTACTAAGCAGTAGAATCATGATTTGAGCCCAGATCTGTTTCAACTCTTAAGCCTGTGGGGGTTTTTTGTTGTTGTTTTTGTGTTTTTATTTTCTACCTGGCTAAATTTTCCAAGTTCCTAGGGAAGAGGGGAGCCATTGGTCTTCGAAAGGAAGAGAGGAGGAAAGGATGGGAAGCATACCAAGAGATGTTCAAATGGTCTCTGCGTATCCACGGGGAAGGAATTGTGTCTGTCTTTCTACCACGGTATCCTCACACCTGTTCTCCACACAGAACAGGAGCTCACTAAATAGTTTTCAATGAATGGATGAATTAGCAAATGAGTGAAACATAAAATAGCACAGATATTTTGAAGGGTACAGAGGAGAAAATAAGGAACTTTTTACAAATAAGCATTATGTCTTGAGAGGAGATGTGAAAAATTGTAAAAAGTCGGGAAGACTGGGGCCCCTGGGTGGCTCAGTCAGTTAAGTCTGCCTTCGGCTCAGGTCATGGTCCCAGGGTCCTGGGATCGAGCCCCGCATCGGGCTCCCTGCTCCGCGGGGAGCCTGCTGCTCCCTCTCCCTCTGCTCCTCCCCCTGCTTGTGCTCTCTCTGTCTCTCACAAATAAATAAATAAAATCTTAAAAAAAAAAGGAGTGAAGATAGAACGGCCATTGAGGAAATGTGATAGAGAAGCCAATAAAAGGTCAGTTCAAGAATGGCTGAGCAGTGAGCACAACTCTCCAGAAGTGTGTGTAATTTGACAATTATTTCTGAGTAGCATTCTCTTGGCCAGGGGGCTCTAGAGAAGGATTTAGTGTGCTCTAATCCCACATAATCTATTATTGTTATCATTAATTAAAAAAAAAACACTAATTAAAGACCTGCCACACACAGGGTATTTTAAAAAAAATGATGACGATGAGAATTATGATTTCAATTAAGGCATCGAGAAAGTTAATAAAAGTGCTGGAGAGAGCCAGGAGTCAAATCAGTTCTACTTTAAATACACATCCTTAAATAACTATTTAAATAGTAATTATTGCTATATATTTCTCATTGTACCCATAAATATTTCAGTGTATGTCTATGAATGGTATGCTCTCTTTCTAAAAACATAATTACAATTCTCACCCTAAAAAGAAATGAATAATTATTTTAAGAGCATCAAATATCTAGTCAATGTTCAAATGTCCCCAGATTTTATTTTTTTTTTCCGGTATTTGATCAAATTGGGATCCAAACATGATACATTCGTATGTTGCAATTAGTTTATATGAATCTTTTAACCCATAGGCACCATCTCTCTTTCTCTCTCCCAACTTATATGTGAAGAAATCCAGCGTTTTGTCTGTTGAGTTCCCCATGGTCTGGATTTTGCTGATTGTGGCCCACAAGGTCCTGCATGTGACATGTTCCTCTGGTCTCTTGTTTTATTCCAAAATGGTATTTGGTTATAGAAACTTGGAGAGACTTGGTTTTTCTAGCAAGAACACTTCATAAGAGGTGACGTGTACTTCTATAAAGAAGAATCTGGGCACCTCTTCTTGAGAAATTGGCATCCGTTGATGATCGTGGCTTAGATTCATTACTTTGTTGAGGATTGCAAAATGATGATATTCTAATTTTATTATTTATTTATTTATTTATTTTTATTATTTGACAGAGAGAGAGACAGCGAGAGAGGGAACACAAGCAGGGGGAGTGGGAGAGGGAGAAGCAGGCTCTCCGCCCAGCAGGGATCCCGATGCGGGGCTCGATCCCAGGACCCTGGGATCATGACCCGAGCCGAAGGCAGATGCCCAACGACTGAGCCCCCCAGGCGCCCCGATATTCTAATTTTATTACTCATTCATTTATTAGTCAAAATTCTCCTAAAAAGAGAGATCACTAGCTTTCCTAAGGTACAGTTTATACACATAAAGGCAGAATAAATGCCTGCTTCTATGTGTTTATTTGCCATTTAAAAAAAAAATCGTGGGTTGGTTCTCTGGCATCCTGCAGAGGTTACCAGCAAGGCTTTTTGTTGTGGTTGCGTAGTTTGGTTCATTTTTGTTTTCCGAGTACGGACTCTGAGACCAGACTGCCTGGGATCAGGACCTCAGCTCTCTCACCCGACTTTGAGCTAAGCAGTTAATCCTTTGGAGCCTCATCTCCTCGCTTCTAAACTGGCGATACTTAATGATGTCTTCATCACAGAGTTATTTAGCGGCTTAAATGAAAATATTTGTAGCCCTCAGGAAAATGTTTGGCACGTTGTGAGCCCAATATAAATATTTGCCATCATGGGTGTTACTGTTGTTTGTAAGTGGTCCTGAGTGGATTCTGGGCAATGGTATTTTGTCAAAGGTCCGCAAGGGATTCTAATGCTGAGCCAATACGGAGAACCACAGGATTGTGAGTTTTAAAGAGATAATGTTACAAAGCAGGGGAGTGAAATGACTACATTTGTGTTAAAAAAAAAAAAATAGCCAAGGGATTGACTGCCTACCCCTCGCTCACTAGAGGTGGCGGGCAAATTAACCTCTCTAAGCCTTAGTTTCTTTAGAAGGTTACTAGGAGTGTAGGGATAAGATTAATACTAGTGCAGGGCTCACAGAGTGGCTATGAGGATCAGTAATTCTACAAAACCCTGTGCATAGTAAGTGCTCAAGAAGGGCTCACTGTGACTTGTCGAAAAACTGCACACAGTCCGTGTGCCCAACTGACAGCCCTCTCCCTGCCTAGATGTGGCTTTCCACAGAACTAGTTGGTGCTGCCTTTTCACCATGTCTTTATTCAGATCCAAAAGGCAAGCTCTAGGAATTTGGGGAAAATATATTCTATACCAACAGCTGGACTAGAAAGGAATCGGTGCTCAGTGCAACGAGTGGCTATGTAATCTTACCCTCCGGTAGTTCATGGTAGGGCATTTTAACTGCAGTGGTATTTTTAAAGGGAGAAACTTCAAATTGGCTAAGCAAATAAATAAAGGCCATTTGAACAGCTCCACATCCAAACCCAGATGGATTTTCCATTATCACATTTGTGCTTCCTGTTTTATCAGATATTTCTTCTGTCTTCCTGTTGTACGGCTTTAAGTCATTTGTTTTTGTTATCTACACGCTATAAATTTGGGGCATTTCATTTGAGACACTGTGTGCTTTAAAAAGAAGGTATTTGTTTTTTTAATATCCTAATTTGTCATCCATAAAGACAACAGACAAGATCGTCTTTAAGAGACAGATGCTGAGGGATGAATTATTGATCAAACCATAAACAAGTTGGAAGATGAAATGCATTTGCCAAATCTATATTTTTAAATCTTTTCCAAACTTTTCACCCTGCCATCCTAGAGATGTGTCAATAGTAGAGAAAGAATGCTATTTATACTACAGGGAGGACCAACTGGAATAATCGGAAGCCGTATTTTTTAAGGCAGTGCTTCCCAATATTTCCAGTACTGAGATCCTCCTTTATGATTTCCTCTCCCTGTGGGTCCTGTGTTTGGAAAAACTGAACATACCAAACTGCATTTATCAATATTTAATTTATTTCCCCATATTTTATTAATCAAAGTCATCTATAACTGCCACCTGGAACATTCAATCAGTACGAGACAGCCTGGGCTACTATACTGAATTGCTGTAATTCCAGCTAAAAGCAAGAAAATATTTGGGCTTTAAAGAAACCATCTTTCATCTGAAGACAGACATTGTGTTCTCTACTCCAACAGGAGAAATGGGGATGACAATCCTGACGTTCAGGGCCCTTTAATCTGTGGTTCAATTTTATGGTAGGAGAATAATGGCCCCCCAAAGATGTCCACGTCCTATTTCCCAGAAGCGAGGAATAGGTTAGATTTCCATGGCAAAGGGGAATTAAGGTTGCAGAAGGAATGAAGGTTGCTAATGGCTGATTTTGAGATGGGGAGATTATCCTGGATTATCTGGGTAGGCCCAGTGTCATCACAAGGATCCTTAAACGTGGAAGAAGAGGTAGTGTCAGAGTGATGGGACTAATGTGACGGGAGAAAGACTCAACCGGCCGTCGGCCATCACTGGTTTTGTAGATGGACGGAGCCAGGAGCCAAGGAATGGGAGCAACTTTTAAGTGGAAGAGATAAGAGAATGGATTCTCCTTTAGAGCCTCCAGAAAGGAAG